AAAGGTGGAGGCAACCAGTCATAATTGGTCCCAAAGTTCCAAATGATAGCTATGGTTTGGAATTGTAGAGGTTTGGGAGGACCCTCTACAATTTCCCAGTTGAAGGAGCAGTTCAAATCCTACCTCCCAGATTTTGTGTTTTTATCTGAAACCAAAAAGAAAAAAGCTTTTGTGTCTACTGTTTGTAAAAATTTGCATGTAGATTCTAGGTGGTTTTGTGTTGATCCCACTGGTAAAAAAGGTGGGCTTTTATTGTGTTGGTCTGAGAAAGTGTCTGTTTTGGAAATTATAAATAATCAGTTCAGTCTTGAAGTCAAGTTTTCTTTCTCTGGATCCTCTGAATCTAAGTGGGCAGTTTTTGTTTATGCCAGTGTAGACCCCTTAGAGAGGCAAGGTCAGTGGGAAATCCTTCATAGACATCATCTCAGGTGGGGGGAGGTTTGGTTTATAGGGGGATTTCAATGACATCATCTCAGGGGAAGAGAAGAGAGGGGGTTTGATAAGAAGCATGGCCAGTTTTGATGTGTTTAGGGGTTTTCTGCAGGGGCTGGGGGTGGTTGAGTGCTCTTTGAGGGTTTATCCTTTCACTTGGTCAAACCTCAGGGATGGGAAGGATTTTGTTGAGGAGAGGTTAGACAGAATATGCTTGTCACCTGACTGGATGCTCAAATATCCTGAAACCTATGTTAAACACATTTCTCTGGTGTCTTCGGATCACTGTATGTTGCTGATGAGTTGTGATAAGGAAAGGACAGAAGGAAAAAGAAGGTTTATGTTTGACAATAGATGGGCAAGCAAGGAAGGGTTTCGGGAATGTATTAAAAAGGCATGGGAGGAAGAAACCAAAGGGCCTGATCTTTATAAATTCCAGAAGAAATTAAGACAGGTCAAATTCTGCTTGATGGGTTGGGCAGCTAGTCAGAAACTGAATTCAGAAATCACAATCAAGGAGTGTAATGCCAAATTAGAGAAGCTTGGGTGCCAAGGTGAGTTGAGAGATTGGAAACAATGGCAGGACTGCAGAGATAAAATTCACAAGGCATACTTGGAGGAGGAGGCCTTTTGAAAGCAGAAGTCTAGGGTTAACTGGCTAAGAGGAGGAGACAAATACACCAGGTTTTTCCAAGCCTATGTGAGGCAAAGAAGACAAAGAAATAGTTTGGATCACTTGGTAAGACTCAATGGAGAAAGCTGTCAGAATATAGAAGAAGTGGTGGAGGAAGTAACTGGTTATTTTGAGAAGCTATTCACATTTGGGAGGAGTAGAGATGGAAGTGGGTGGTTGCAGGGGATTCAAAGGTCCATAACTACTGAGATGAATGAGAATCTAACCAAGTCAGTGACTGAAGAGGAGATCAAGTCTACTTTGTGGGCCATGGATCCAAATAAAGCCCCAGGTATTGATGGTTATTCCCCCCTTTTTTTTCCAATCTGCTTGGGATATTATCAAACATGATCTCTTTTTGGCTGTGTCAAATTTTTTGAACTCTTGTTGTATTCCAAAAGCTACAAATCATACCATTATTACCCTAATCCCTAAAACAAAAAATCCCAAAACCATTCTTAATTATAGACCTATCAGTCTTTGTACCATTAGTTATAGATTAATTGCAAAAATTTTGGCAAACAGGTTGAATAATGTTCTTCACTGTTGCATTTCCAATTCCCAGTCTGCTTTTGTGCCTGGTAGGCAGATCCTAGACAACATTATAGTAGCTAATGAATGTCTCCATTTTATAAATAGTAGGAAAAAAGGCAAAAGATGTTTTTTGGCCCTCAAACTTGATATGGAAAAAGCCTATGACAGAATTGAGTGGCATTTCCTTATTGATGTGTGCAGGAGGATGGGTTTTTGTGATAAATTTCTGAGGTGGATTTGGGCCTGTATTAGTACCTCATCCTTCTCTTTTAATTTTTCTGGGCAAGCCTTAGGTCAAATTTTCTCTTCTAGAGGCCTAAGGCAGGGATGTCCTTTGTCTCCCTATTTATTTATTATTGCTTCAGAAGCCTTTTCTAATCTTATTAATATTGCCTGTTCTTCCCAAAAATTTAGGGGTCTGAAAATTAGTAAACATGCCCCTAGTATATCTCATCTATTTTTTGCAGATGATGCCCTTATATTTTGCCAGGCTGATTCTGCTCATGCTCTTTTGCTATTAGATATTTTGAACTCTTATTGTGCTATGTCTGGTCAAGCAGTCAATATGCACAAGTCTAATATATTTTTCTCTAGTAATACCCCTGATTTTTTGAAATCTGAAATCTGCCAAATCTTCCAAGGGGTGGCTGTGGCTAAATATTCAAAATATTTGGGGCTTCCTCTGGGTATAGGGAGATCCAAAAAAGATACTTTTTCTTTTGTTAAAGAGTGTGTTGTGGCAAGGGTCACAAATTGGAAATACAAGTTTTTGAGTGAAGCCGGGAAAGAAGTTCTGATTAAAACCATCTTGGCTGCCCTCCCCATTTATGTTATGTCTGTTTTCAAAATTCCTGTTGGAATCTGTGATGAGCTGTGTAGGATCATTGCCAATTTCTGGTGGGGTAGTAATGGGGAAAGGGGGAATAAAATCCACTAGATGCAATGGGAGAGGTTGGCTAAGTCTAAGAGTGAGGGGGGGTTGGGCTTTAGAAACTTTAGGGACCTTAATGAGGCTATTATCATTAAACAAATCTGGAGAATGCTTACTGAGCCTCATACTCTTATGAGTCAAGTCATGAGAGGTAAGTATCTCTATAGGAAAACTTTTCTGGAGGTTACTAAGAAGGATAGTGACTCTTGGTTGTGGAAAGGGTGGCTAGAAGTTAGGGAATCTTTCAAGATTGGGGCCTGTTTTATGGTGGGAAATGGGCAGTCTATAGATATTTGGGATTCTCCTTGGATTCCAAAAGCTACTACGTTTGTGCCCAAATGTTGTTTTCCAGGTGACAAAGTTAATTTAAGCAAAGTGGCTGACCTAATGCTTGCAGGAAGAAGTGAGTGGGACAGTGATCTAATCTTTCAAACCTTCACTCCCCAAGATGCAGAAAACATCCTCAAGATACATATCAGTAAGCTGGGGAGACCTGATAAGCTGATTTGGCTACCAAACAAAAAAGGAACCTTCACAGTAAAAAGTGCTTATCAAGCTATTCAGAGGCAGAAGAATTTGGAAAGAGGTTCAGAGGGGAGCAGTATGGGCCAAGGCATTCAAGAAAAAGTGTGGAGAGTCACATGGCACTTGCCAATCAAGCCAAAGATCAAAAACTTCATATGGAGATGCTACAATAACTGCTTGAGCACAGCTGATAATCTGAGGCACAGAGGGATTAAGGTGGATGAAGTCTGTTGTTGGTGTGGAGAAAAAGAGGTAAATCTGGAACACCTACTGTTTCAATGTGATAGAGCAAAAAGGGTCTGGAAACTTGCAGGATTGTTCTGGGAAGGGCTGCAGGTGGAACCAATTGACTTTAGGGCATGGTGGAATGATATTTGTCACTTGCAGAAGGGGGATAACAGCCAGGACAGAGCCACTCTATCCACCTACATCATGTGGTGGCTTTGGAAGACAAGAAATAACTGGCTATTCAATAAGGAACAATGTGATGAGAGGCTGCTAGTCAAAAGAGCTCAGAGTGAATGGATGGAATATGAAGACACCCAGGCTGGGAGTAAGATAGAGAAGGGTACCACATCTGACAGTAAGGCAAACACCAATTCTAAGGTGCATCAAGGAGTAGGGGTGCAGATTTCTGTATCCAGTGCTAATGATGTCCAAAGGATTGAGGAATCTGGTACAGGAAGAGTGTGGAAATCTAGTGAGGTGAACAGAGGAGGGGCCATTAGGAACATTTGCAGGTGTTCAGTGGAATCAAACCTTACTCAACTTAGAAATTGGCTATTGGAGTGTGAGGAAAGGGAGAAGCAGCAGGTGCTCATAAAGGTGCAAGACCCTAGGTTGAGAAAGTGGCTGAAAGACAGGGTGATCTTTAATGTTTCATTCACAATGTTGCTTGAAGATATTTTCCAACTGCTATCTGAATTTCAGCTCTACTCTTTTGTGGACATTATGTAATTTGCTTTGTCTCTTCTGTAGCTTTTCTTTTTAGATTTGTGTTAGTGTCATGGCCTTGTTAGGTCTTGTAGGGGAGTTTTATCAACTCCTCATGTGTTCATTATCCCAAATCTGATTTGGGGTTGATGATGTATAACCGGTGGGATGTTGCTTGTACATTTCTGAGTTCTAACGAAATTTGATGTTTGAGTAAAAAAAAAAGAATACATGTAGAATTTATGAGTTCCAAAAAAAATCAATTGAATAAACTCAAATTTCAAAATCTTAAAAAGCCACTAAAAAAGTCTTCACTGAATACATTCTTCAATCAGAGCATTCACAATGTTTTGAGTGCAATCACTAAAAATTGTATGTCACATAAGAAATATACATAGTCTAAAATTTATATTCTCCAATGCAAACAAAAGTTAGACTGTGTCTGCTGATGTGGCAGTCAGAAAAAGAAACTCGGTCTACCCTTAAGTCCTATTTTAGACCAAAGTAAAGACTTAATCTGTTTGCATATGAGTGAATTTTATTAATTTTACATACTTTTATCCATGTCATCCAAAACTTGAGTTTATTTACATGCCACATAGGCAAGATCTTAAGGACCAATAGAACACTAAAGAAGCAAAGAGTTTCTTTTATTCATTTCTACACCAATTTTCCCACAGTCAACAATCTTTTTCCATCTATGTAATCGAGTGTTTCTACTAATTACAGCTAATGTGGAGAGGTCAAGATTGGACCCAACTCACAAGAAAAGTATTAGCCCCTCCACAAGCTATGAGTGTATGACCAACGCTTACAAATGTATAACATCAATGAAAAANNNAAAAAAAAAAAACTCATTCAACACCACAACGGGCAATTCCAGGCTACAATCACTAGACCCACGATATCTAAACGATCCACAACTCTTAGACTCGTATAAACTTTGCTGGCCGTCGGGCAATTTCAGCAGCCTCAGCTGGATCTCCAGTGCCTTGCCATCTCGAACCCGTTCCTGGCGTAATAATAATCTTCAATTGTTTTCTCAATCTCGTGCTGAGAGTTCATCACAAAAGGCCCGTGCTGCACCACGGGCTCGTTCAGCGGCTGCCCACCCACCAAAATGAACCTCAGTTTGGCGGATGACGATTTGTTCCACACACTTAGGCCCTCTCCAGGGCCCAAAACCAAGATGTGGTGAGCTTCTGTCGGGGGAAAATTTGGGACGCCAAACACGCCTTCACCTTCGATGATGTACACAAAGGCATTCCATGATTCCGGAATGCTTTGGTGATACTGAGAATTTGGTTTTAGAGTGAAATCGAGGAACATGGTTGGGGTCCGCGTGTAAACCGGAGAGTGGACGCCCATTGCTTCCCCTGCTATGACTTTAACCTCCACACCATCTTTCTCGGCCTTTGGGATGCCATCTGCCATCAATTCCTGATATTTCGGTTCAATCCTGCATAATGACAAAATTTTCTAATTTTCTTCCAATCAAACTAGTGATCAGAATAATAATAGTCACCCTAAAAAATTTAGTTGACAAGAGAAGATGGTGAATTTGGAATTTAACCTACATTTTATCCTTGGCTGAGAGATTGATCCATAATTGCAGACCGGTGTTGGTACCTTCTCCAGCCGGCATTTCAGAATGAACGATGCCCCTGCCCGCAGTCATCCACTGTGTGGTTCGGTAAAAACAATGTTAAGATTTCACATGGAAATGAGTCCATTGAGCAATTGTCATTTCTTGTTATCTTAATAACATAATTTACTCATGCTCCGCTAACCTGCACTTCACCGGCACGTATTGTGCCCTTATGACCAGCAAAATCTTGATGTGTCACTCCTCCCTAAAATATTTCTGAGTTCTTAGAGTTCTAACCAGTACATGCCTATGTATTTATTTTATTTTATGAATGTTTTACCTGCAACACGTATGTAACAGTCTCGAACCCTGTTGAACAACAAGAACCCCAATTAGATTTTTGAACCCCGAAAACAACAAAATACTGATAAGGCGAAAAACGAGCCAAACGAGGACAGAGTACCTCGGTGTGGATGGTCTGGAAATCCAGCAGGAGGTGAAACTGTTTAGAATGGAAGAAAAATGGAGGAAGTGATTTATGAGTTGAAATTACAGTCTGAAAAAAATACTAAAATCATCAGTCAAAGAATCAAATGTTTTTACCAGAAAATTCATCTAACATCAGAAAAGGATCCAAAGACTTCAACTCAGGCCTGCAAATTTAGCACAAACATCATTAAGCCATATCTATATTGATCAACAAATAAAAAAAAAAAAATATTGTAATTTATACTTATAAAATCTCTAAAAACAAAAAACACCAAAACAAATCCCATAAGGAGGATGCTCTATTTCAAATCAGAATAACCCAAATCAATTGACTTTTAATTCAATCTATGATAACCAAAAAAATAATAAAAAAAAAAACCTTCCAATGCTTCTTCTGGCCACAGCGCCTTGACCCTCGGCCTGGGGCATGGCCAATAGTCTCTTACAAACAATTCTGGGATTTTCGAAACACATGAATGATGATGATGATCGAGAACAACAAAACACGTTTCTTGTACTTTTGGGCTTGTAAATTCTGAGATTCGTGATTATAACTCTGGCCAATGGGGAGGAGATCATTTATATAGAGAGAAATAAAATTTATAGAATATGAAGGGCGACTTTCAGTTCACACGCATTCTTCAGATTTGAGTTGGTTGAAGTCGAGGGCGATAGGAATTAATTAAAACATTTTGGAGTCAACTGCCTTTTATGGATTATCACGCAATGGCGTCGGCCTTACGTCATGCGCACACTTTTTCCAACGTCTACCTTATGTCATAGTGATGTCACCCCTATGTTACAAATACAAAGGTTTGGATTGCTAATACAATATAAATAATAAATAATGATATGAAAAAGTAATATAGCTAGTCATTTTTTTTTTAAATGATAGAAAATTTCATTCATTCAACACAAACAATTACATAATGTTCATGTAAAGGATGAGAAAACCATACATAAACTCAACAGCCGGCAATGGGAGAACCACACAAGAGTGGCCTAGAGACCAAAACAAAGAAAAGAGAAAAATGTAGAAGTAAGTGCGTTAAGATACAAGTGTAACCCTTACTCCTATCTACCAAAGATGCAAAACCAATCAAAGAAAGAAAATAGTCCAGAATGAAAGTAAAGAACTAAGACAAACACCCCCATATCTGAAAACAACAATCTAGAAATGCTTTTGCCTGCTCTCATTTGCCTCCAAGTAAGCCATCAATTCTTGAACAACTGCCTTGACTATGGAGAATGCAGGCCTTGTAATTCTTTCAAAAACCCACAAATTCCTGCATTTCCACAACCACCAGAGGATGTATGTGGATAACTGAAGTCTTGCCTCTAATGTGTCACTCTTGTCCAGTTTGCAAACTTGCCACCACCAAGACTTGAAGGTTTCAGACTGCTGAGGTCCTTCCTAATTGACAGTGGCCATTCTCCAAACCAGCTGAGCTTGATTACAATGAAAGAGAATGTGCTCTATTGATTCTCCAGCTTCTCCACAGACATCATAAATCTCATCAACCTCCATTTCTCTACTTCTTAAGTTTAGGTTAACAGGTAAGGCATTAGAATAGCACTTCCATATAAAATGTTTTACCTTGGCCATTACCTTAAGCTTCCATGTCCTGGTCCCAACTTTGATCTCATTTACTCTACCATAGCTTCCTTGTGGCTGATCAATCAGAAAAGCCTTTTCGGAAATAAGATGAGCATAAGTGGGTTTAACTGAAAAGATATCTTTATGATTGAGCCTCCTTATCCATCTGTCAGGGTGAATGGGGTTAACAGTGTTGATACTGGGGATTGAATCACTTATGGCATGATTGGTATGAGGGAATGACATGGGAATAGAATGATCACTCCCTTACTCATTCCTTATCCCATGATTGGTATATTTTTTGGAAAGAAATGACAAAATCCATTTCCATGGGATTAGTCATTCCATAGTTCATGGAAGATTTTCTCATTCCGATGTAAGTAGGAATCAATTTTCAAAAAAATAAAATTAACAAATAATAATAAAAAAAAATATATGATATATAATATAAATAATGATTAAAATATATTAAATAAAATTATTTTAAAAAATTAAAATTCAAATAAAAATATTGGAAATTAATTAGATATATTAAAGACTTATATACAAATAAAACTAAAAAAAAGCATTTATATATAATTTGAAAATATATTATTTTATTTTTATATAGTAAAAATATATTATATGTTATATATTACAAATATATTACTTTGAAAAACATATTATTAAAAATATATTATTAAAAAATATTAATAATATATATTATTAGAAATATTTTACTTCTAATTTTATATATTATTATGAATATATCATTTTAAAAAATAAAATTCAAATAAAAAATAAAAACTTACTTTTAATTATTGTTTAATTAAAAAAATTAAAATAAATATTATTAAAAATTTATTACTTTTTATTTTTATGTATTATTAAAAATATATTATTTTATATATACCAAAAATATATTATTTTTAAGAATATATTATTTATTATATATAATTTTAATATATATTTTTAAGAATACATTATTTATTATATATAATTTTATAATATATTAGTTTTTTATATTATTAAAAATATATTATTTTATTTTTATATATTATTAAAAAACATTTATATATATATTTTTTTTAAAAAAAAATTATTTATTTTTTATAATAACAAATAATAATGTCATTCCATTCAGGTCTTATTCATTCTGCATATCAAACGCACCAATGACAAAACATGTTTCATTCCATTCCCATAATCATTCCATTCTTCAATTCATTCCATTCCTACGATAATCCATTCCATTATACCAATCAGGACCTTATATCCGGTGGAAAGGTGTTCTTTACTTTATGTACATCCCTGTGACAACCATCACATGTCAGAAGGTCCCTTACCCAATTGATACCCCTGTTAATGCCTTAATCACAGGTGTCCTCGAGCGTGTTTCTCCGTTCGACCATCCACCTTGGCCTGCAATTGACGCAACTGCTCAGCAATCCTCTCCACCTCTCGATCCTGCGGCGCCCCACCTCCACCATACCTGGACACGTCCTCCTCCACATTGTGGTGGGTACCCACCACCATGGTCGGCGCGGTGGTTGCTCGAGAGAGGTTGTTTGTGACCTGTTGCACTGCCTGCGCAACCGCATCTGCCACCATCTACTGCATCTCAGGCCTAGTCATCACCACTTTTCGATCAGGGCATTGCTCCCCCGCTTGCGGTGGTGCTCCTCCTTGCACCATGAGTCCTATCATGTGCGCTCCAATCGGATCTGGTTGCGACGACGGCGGCACCGCCGCCGCAAGTGCCGCGCGAGCTTCCTGGGCCTGATAAGAGCCCGCATCTCCTCCGAGAACAACCAGTGACACCACTAGACCTTGAGGAACAGGCATGGGAGTGACCCGCGTTTGCGAAGGACCGGAGAAACCCGGAGGAGAGCCTTACCCTATCGGTCTTGTCGTCGTCCAAGCTTCATCGCACGATGACTGCAAATTGATTCTGGGAATTCTGTCCGCCATGGCTACAAAGCTCGACAACCTTAGCACACTACTTTTCGAATGAAAGCCCCCACAGACGGCCCAAATGGTAACACAAAACTCTCCGACTGTCTGAAATCTGAGCAATCGCCTTTCTTCTCGCCTGTTGAACGTCGTGCACCTACAAAGAACTCTCACACCAGAGAGGTTTTCCGGTGAAGAGCCTCTAAAGCTTAAGTCAGTGTTTGTTCAATCAATTCTTAAGAGTAAAGTGTATTGATCGTCTTGAACAAGAAAATCTCACCCCATATATGTAGGGGTGAGATACCTACCGTAGGAGCTGCCCGGATCTGCTGAGTTGGTTGTCCGGGCCTGCCCGTCCGTACACACACAGTGTGCGTGTGTCAGAGGTAACCGTCGCTGCTATCCTCTGTGTTTGTACTATTCTTGTTCCATTTTTCCTTATTGTTTGTTCTTCGTTTTCCCTCATTTTAGGACTTTTTATTGGTTTTTATTCATTTTTATGATTTATTATGTGGTTTGATCTAATTTGGTTTTTCCTGTGTTTTTTGTGTATTTTTCATGTTTTCTTCTTGTTTTTTGTGTGCAGGTCAAAAACCCCGTGAGGATTGGATTAAGATCGTAAATCGACCATTCAAGAACAACTAACTATATAAGTTAGTTGGCGACAAGTGAGAAAAAGCGGAATTGCTTTCGAGTTTGGATGAATCCAAATAGGGACAAAATGTAAAGTTGAGCAAGTTACCAACCCTTTAAAGGTTGGAAATTCCACAAAATATGTATTCTGGGAAAAAGTGTGGTTTGAAAGTACCATTGGATAGAGGGCTTCGTTAGCTACGTGTAGGAAAAAACGAAACTCAATTCCGAGTCCAAATGAGCCCGAACGAGCGAAAACCGTGATGAAGTGAAAGCTGCTGACACAGTAGCGGCGCTAGCTAAGTAGCGCCCGGGGCAATCTTTCCTCTATCGGCATAGTAGCGGCGCTAACCCCCTAGTAGCGGCGCTACTACCCCTTTTTCTGCCAACTTATGATTTTTAAGCTCATTTTTAGTGATGGTTAGTACCCAATCTATTCAATCTTTTTCGATGGCATGAAAGACACCACAAAGTGACATTTTCAGCTATTAATCTTAAGCAAGAAGGGGGATCATTTGGCTATAAAAGGGGAGTATTTCCAAGCTTGAAAATTATCCCATTTCTCCCTCATTTTCACCTTGCATGGTTTAAACAAGGAGGGGTTCTTCCCCTTCTTTCCCTCTATTTCTTTTCTTTTTCTTTTTCTTCATTTTTATTAATGAGGAAACTTGTATTTGAATGCAACACTTGGATTAAGATTAAATGTAAGTTTTTCTTCTTGTTTAATTCATGAACAATGGTTGAATTTGGAGAAATATTTTGTTGTGTTAAGTCAAGTATATGTAGCTAATCCCATAGCTAGGGGTAGGGAATGATCTTTCTGGTTTAATCTCGTTTATGTGCATGACGATAGCTCAATCTTGACGAGTTGTTTTAATTATGAAATGATAAAATTACACTTGATAAATTTGTATAACCTAAGAGTGACACTTAGGTTAATTTGTGGATATAATCAAACAGTGACACTTTGATTTGTGCTTGAATATTGTTTTGTTGAGTGAGAGTTTGTTAATTCTACGAATTGTGACTTTCAGAAACGAAAGGGGAGGAGTCATAGAAATAATCGATTTCAAAACCGAGAGGGGAGAAGTTGATGGAATTTGGCTCGTTTAGAGTAGACATGTTCGGAGACGTATTGTCTATGTGTTAATTGTTTTGTTAATTTGCTCTTTTATGTTTATCCTCATATTACGAGAGTTATTGAGGTTAAACCGCTAAATGAATTAGTTAGTCGAACCATTTAACCAAGTTATTGATTGTGTTTAAA